TCGCAATTGGATATTTTGCTTCGGTCAACTTGTAGAGAAGGGAATGATGATTATAATTGTGGAAGAATTATGCAGAATGGGAATTAGGAAGGGCCTTATCGGAGACAATTTTTGCATTTTCTCGCGGCGGCTATGGTTAAGTTTTGGTGTGAAGAGAGTTATTTATATCCGTCTTCTTTTAATCTGGGTAGTCCAACGCGTTTAATCTGTACTGTCTGATCGCGATTAAATAGAGAGTGAATCTAGACCGTTCATCGCGATTTGATCTGGACCGTCCGATCGTATTTAAATAGAAGTGGATATGGACCATTCATTGTATTTAAATCTAACTGTCCAATCATGTTTGGGGAGGAAACGGATCCGAATCGTCCGTACGCACGGGAATGAATCTAGACCATCCGATCGCGAGCGCGCGGATCCCCAGTGTGGCCTCTCGCGTGACACCACGTCAGCGTCCCTTGCCACTGGCGTGCTTCGCTTCGTTGGGCCTATTGTTAATTTTTTAAATTGCGTTTTAACACCTATTTTTCAAATTTTCTTTCAAAAATATATACAGAACTCAAATTTTCACATTTTTTTTAAAAATTATTGTCAATTTCATCATCCATTTAATTTTATTCATTTTTATATTAAATAAGAATTAAAAAAATTAAAAATTATATAATTTATACACTAATTTTAATAAAATTAAAATTAATAAATCAGGGGTATTATAAAATAATTATGTAACTAAAAATTAAAAAACAAAGCATAATTTAAAAAGGATACTTTGAGTTTCTTAAATTCTAGTACCTTTAATATAAACATATATTTAACTTATACAATTAATATTTAGTCGATAATAACACTAAATATGTTTCTGAAATTTGTATCATCAAACAATATGCAAAATAATGAAATTATGAATAAAGCATCATTTAATTAAACATATCTTAATTAGCTAAAAAAAATAACATATACATATAAAGCTTCTCTGAACACATACAGTCCATTTTTACAATTTTAGCCCTATGTTAATCACTGAAAGAAAGAAAGGCATGATCGGCAGTCACCCCCCACGTTAGAACTTTGAATGGACAGAAATTGTTTCCTTATCCTCGTTTTCCCTCCCAGATAACCAAGAACCAAATCAAACAAAACCCACAAGGGAAAACCAATGGCCGAAGCTGTCATGAGCTTCTCCATCATCAAACCAGTTCATACCACCAAATTGGAAATCCATCCTTCTTCATCCATATCGGTAATACATTATATCCTTGTTTGAATTTTTAGTTATAATTTACAACGTTATGTATATATAATCAACTTTATTCAAATTCTCTTATATTTCAACGCGAACTTCGTTACTGTCAGTTGATACTTATCTAAATGATTATGAATTTCGTATATAAATATTGCAGCTTAGGCAAGGCACAAGTGTAAAGCTGTATCGTTGTTGGTTAAGTGTGAGTATGGGATTTTATTATCGATGTATAGACTTTTTTTCGTTAATTATGGCTAATTTTCTTGTGGTAAATTAAGGTATAATTAGAGATGATATAATATGTTGTATAATTATAGAGTGAAGGAAAGAAGGTGGAAAGGGGTTGTTTCTGTAAAGTGAATGCTTTGCCAGATTTGCATTTAATGGCAGTTCTGGTTCAGCAACTTGAAGGCCAAAGAGACATCATAACCAACAAGTCTATTTGGCATCTCAGTGACCAAGCCATTAAGAATGTTTGTGAGTACAACTTCACATACACCACATATATATACATATACACACACATATACGCAGGCTTGTATAGATATAAATACATGTGATCTCTCTGTTTGCAGATACTTTCTACATCATGTTCACTTGTTGGGGATGCATGTTCTTTGGTTCCACTAAAGTAAGACTATTTTTCAATTATTTGGCCATTCATATATTGAGTTTCTCTTTTATTTATGTAAATATATATATATATATATATGTTGTTGCGTGCTTATATAGACCGTAACATTTCATAATAAACGTGATCCAGGATCCATATTATGACTCAGAAGCTTATAGGAAAGATGGAGGAGATGGTACTGGACACTGGGTATATGACAAGGTATTTTTTTTTTTTTTTTCTTCTATAAAAATTAAATTTTAAAGGACATACATACATATATATACATATACATATACATATACATATATAATTGAATGCGAAGGTTGATAATTAGATATGAAAATGTAAATGGTGGGTGCAGCAAGAGGACATAGAAGAATCCGCAAGGGCAGAGTTATGGCGAGAGGAGCTGATAGAGGAGATTGAACAGAAGGTTGGTGGGTTGCGAGAGCTGGAAGAAGCTGGCCGGAAGTAGTAACTAAATTACATGCCTTTATTTTATTTGAATTAATGCCTCTCCTCAATTTTGCAAATCTCCAGCATTATTAGTTGTATGTATGTATGTGTGTGTATATATATATATATATATATGTTTACTCAACCTATTTTCTGTCCATATGATAGCTTTTATTAATTTAAAATTATAGCCATTTCTTATAAATGATTAATTAATCAATTTATTAAATTTAAATTTAGTTAACGTTATTTTTTGAATATTTAATAACTTGTTATGTTACTCTTAAGAGTTAAATTTAAAAGTTTTATTCTATTTATTTTGTTAAAATATTGATCGGATTAGAATGAAATTTACTTCGTCTTTGTTGACCAAAATTTTATAATCCATTAATTTTGATAGACAATACAAATTTATTTTCTATTAACGATATTTTATGAGTTGTTGAAATAACATAAAAAAAATTTAACAAGACTCAAAAATATTATTAAAATTATTATTATTTTTAAAAACATATACATCATATTTTTACAGAAATTAAACTTGTTATATTTTTTAAATAACATACGTACATTAAATTTTTTTATGACTTTATATATCTACCGGATATCATATTTTAATTTTAAAATTACTTAAATATGTTTAAAAAATATTATTTTCAGAAATTAGAGCGATTTAATATAATAAGACTTAAAATACATAGAAAAATATATTTTTAATGTGATTATTTTATATGTAGACATGAATTACACTGATTTCAAAGCATTAAAAACATAAAATTCACGTGTCTCGAAGAAATTAATGTATTGTTAGCATAAAATAGTGTTTAGGTAAAAAAAAAAACAACTTTTTTTAAAAAAAATTAATTATCATTCCAAAGTTAAATTGTTAGTGACACAAAATGTATTACATATAATTTTATATAAATTTTGGGTAAAATTCTGAAACAAAAATCGATTTCATAATTGTTGGGGACCAAATTTTGGATTTCAAACCAGTGACTACATTATCACTAAAGAATAAAAATTAATATATGGCATAAATAAAATAGTTCTGGAAGCACATCCCAAAAATATTATACAATATATCATATAATATATTTTTATGTGTATGCATATAAAAAATGATGGAGAAGAAAAAATATGTCGGCCTCGGATTTAGCAAAAGAGGAGAACAAACCAATGGGTGGGACTGGGAACTCACAAATTAAATTTATTCGAGTCTGGAAAAATCTCCAGCAACTCAACCAGTGGGTGGGCTAACCCACAATACCACCTAACATGGGTATCAATCGTAACTATATATATACATACATACATATGTATATATATAGTTATTTTTGTTTGAAAATAATTATTAAAATTTTAGGATTACTGGGTTCCAGAAATTACAAAAATGGCAGCTATTTGTAATAATATTTCCTTAAAAAATGGGCCTTATCCAAAACCGAGTCGGCGACGCGGTTAGTCGTTTTCTGTTTCTTTTTCTTTTTTTATCCAAATCAAAACTCAATATTTTAAAAGATAATAAATCCAAATTCAACTTGTCTGTTCTTCTTCCTTGCACCTTTCAAACCCACCCTTAAATTTTCCTCTTTTCTCCCTTTAATCAACCAGTTACCTCTCAAATTCAAACCCTTGAACTGGCTATTGACTTTCTCTTCATTAAATTTTTAATCTTTGATCCAATAAATCAGTAAATCTTCCTCTTTTCTGATTTAACCCACCAACCATCCCTCAACATCAAATCTTTTTGTTCAACATCTTCAACTGGGTCTCGGTTTAAGTTCTTGTAACTTGTGAAAGGAGGGTTTTTTTTTTTTTTTTTCTTCTTACCGAGCATTAAGTTTGATTCAGCAGATTCTGATTTTGATCAGCTAGGATTTTTGGTGTTTGAAATAGCCATGGCTTGCTTGTACAGAAATGCCATAAATTTTATTGGAGGATTGAATGAGACAGCCAGAACACAAGGGGTAATTGGTTTGTGCAAACCTTCAGTTTTGTCACAACCTAGGGAGTTCAAATCAACAGGCCTTCAAGTTTCTAGAGTTGATTTTATGGGCAAATCATTGGATCAGATTGATTCTGGAGATTGGACTTCCAAATCACCAAACAAGTTCTACATTCATGTATGTCAATATCTCCTTCCTTTCATTCATATCTCCAAAATCTTGACAACATTCATGTATAGTTGTATATTTGATTTGTGTATTCAATCTGGGATTTCAGGCACAAACCAAAATGATTGTAAGCAGAGCTATGAAATGGTGGGACAAGAACCTAAAACCCAACATGGTGGACATTCATTCTGCACAAGAACTTGTTGATTCTTTGAAAAATGCTGGTGATAGATTGGTTATAATTGATTTCTATTCACCTGGTTGTGGAGGCTGCAGAGCTCTTCATCCCAAGGTTATTGTCTAAATGGTTATCAAGCATTGATCTTTTAACAGCTTTTCTTTGATTTCTGAGATAAAAATATTTTCTTGACATTCCTTCCATATGGGTTCAACTTCTTAACAGACTTGTCAGTTGGCTGAATCATACCCAGATGCAATTTTTCTAAAAGTTAACTATGAAGAGCTCAACACCATGTGTCATAGTCTGAACATTCATGTTCTTCCATTCTTCAGGTTCTATAGAGGCGCTGAAGGACGACTATGCAGCTTTAGCTGCACTAATGCAACTGTAAGAATCTATTTAGATGTATACAAATAAGAAAGTAACACAAAAAAAAAAAAAAAGTTGGGGGTTATGGAAGATTGTTAATCTAACTCCAGATTCTTGAATTTACAGATCAAAAAGTTCAAAGATGCATTGAGAAAGCATGGTGCTGATAGATGTAGTCTTGGTCCAGCAAAAGGTTTGGATGAATCTGAGCTAATAAAATTAGCCTCTGTTGGCGAGTTGGTATCAACTAATTTACAGATTCAATCTACCAAGAAAGAGATAATGAAAGATTTGTTTATACAAAGCATAGATTTGTCACATGTTTTGACCAGAGCAGGAGAAAACAAGATGGAGCTTAAAGAAGATAATGTTCTTCAAAATAAGCTAATTGGGTTTTGATTAGTAGATTGATGGATCAAAAAGGTGTTTCTGATCTTGGCTAGTTGTATATACCGGCCAGTTAGGTTGCCTCAGGCTTCTCCTTTTTTTGCATTGAGCCTGCCGATTTGGTTGATTTTTTTTTTTTTTTTTGTGTTGTCATTGTTGTCGTGGAAGTAAAATTGGTTGATCTTGTTAATCTCTTCAATTCTCTTGTCTAATATTCCCATTAGATTCAGTAAGATTCTTGATTTTCTTGGGCAGTAATTGAAGAATGGTTTGCTAGTTTGTTTTTGTTCTTCTTCCTTTTTTTTTTTTTTTTTGGTTTTTTCAGAGAAGTAAAGTTGGTAGATCTTGATCGTTGACCTCTTTGATTTTCTTGTCTCAAATTATCATTTGATTCTTGTAAGATACTCAATCTTCTGGAGCAATAATTGTGATTTATCAATTAATCATTTTATTTAACAATTATATATTAAATTCTCACAAGGAAATAATAGACTTTTAAAGTCCATTTATCATCCATAATAACTCAAAAAACTTAGGATTAAAATTCATGTAAACTCTTTTTACAAATGGATGGATGTTCATGTTTATCAACAAAATGATGTATAAGATTAATTTATTATTAGATTTTGGGAGTAAAATATTTGCTGTATCACATGTAGAAATGGACAAATATATTAGATCCCTTTTAAATTATAATGCTGGGAATAAGAACAAAAAGTCCAACAAAGTGCCTACTCATCTCTGAGTTTTGATTTTATCATTTTTTTAGAACACTTGAGAGGATAAAAACTGTTATTACAATTTGGATTTGGATAATATGTCTGGATCACATGGGCGGTATCCCGTTCAACATGGAATCTGCAAGTAGTTTGAAATTATGATATATATTTTAAAAAATATATAATGTAATATATATATATATGTATATGTATGTGCTACATATCCTGTTATCTTTTTCTGCAGGCACATAGTTCTGGGGTTGAATACGTGGGGTGGGTCTGTTTGGACCATTCCAGAAGGTTGACTGTGAGTTTATCATGAGTGGTTAAATGTGTTACAATAATATTATTTGTTAAAAGTACCAAAACTTCCCTCAATTATTATAAAATAAAAAAAAAATTCAAAATTTTTCATTAGTTCTGGGGTTGAATATGTGGGGTTACGTCTTCTTCTTCTTCCTCACTGTTCCTTAGGTTTGTCACTTTGAAAAATCCATGGCTTCCAGAAGCCCTTCTAATATGCTCCAACGCATGCTTTGTCGTCCCACATTACCGGGCATGAATCTGACCAAGTATGTGAGCGGGTCGTCAAGCTCCTGCTGAGTGTGGGCTAACTCTAACCAAATGAACTCTATTGACAACTCTAATTATTTTTGTAGAAACTAGGTCTGCGGATCTTTTCAGAAATCTTCTCCTTCGGTGATTCAGTGGTTCACCTGCATGTTCTGCTACTGGAAATCTTAGATTTAACAGCTTCAATTCAAAGACGGCTTTTCATCATTGGAATCGGGGGAGGATGACGATGTAACATTCCACGGATCCTTTTAAAGATCTTTTCCATTAGCAATTCATTGGCTGATTTATACCCGCATGCATGTCCTGCCATGGATCTCTGCCTAGAAGTGGAGAGGTTTTCTGCTTTATTGACTCAGAATAGCAGCAAGTGTTAAAGGATGGTGACAGGTAGAGCAAAGGAAAAGATTAAGTGAGGATGATAAGTGTGCATGCATGTGTATATTTATGCAAATGGTGCCATTTGCAATTAAGTTAGATACAAATAGTTTGTGTGCATGGGAGGAGTAAGTGCACTCCTTTTTACCCTCGTATAAATATTATTTTCCTTCATTTCAAAATAAGAAGAAAGAGAAAACACTTGTGACGGCCCATTGAGGGTTTCTTCCTCTCAAATCTCCTTGTCTTCTTCCTTACTTAACTGATTGTTTCTTGTTGTTCATTCATATTTTCTATAGTTTATTGTTAATATCTCTGTGCAATAAAGTTTTTTATATTATCAGAGGTAACGATCGAGAACGAAAACTCCAACTCAAATACGATCCAAAATCCAAATTCGTGGAGCGAATTAGTTCATAATCCTTTGGGTTCAAGTAGTTCGTATTCAGTTGGAGCCAATGAGAATGCTGGAGCCTTACTTATTACACAGTTGCCGGACTCTAGAAACTATATTCTTAGTCATATTTCCAATCTGCCTTACCTCATGTGGGCTTTGTAACTCTGAGCTTTGTGGATCCATGTCTCCTAAACTATTGTCTTTACCCACTTGCAACCTATATGATATAAAACTATCATAAAACACCACATTTCTTGATATAAATACCTTTCCATTTTCTAGATCTAGCAACTTGTACCCCTTCATACAAAAGGGATACCTAAAAAATATACATCTCCTTATTTTTGGACCACTCTTGTGTCTATTGTTTATCAATGAAGCAAAGGCCACAGACCCAAACTCTCTCAGATGAGCATATGTTGGTTTCGTCTTAGACAACTCGAAAGGTGTCTTATATTTAATTGTTGATGAAAGGATCATGTTCATGAGATATATAATAGGTAGGATAAAATCATTCCAATATTTTAAGCTAAGTCAATTTTCAAACTTCAATGTCTTGATAATGTTTAGAATCTGCTGGTGCTTCATTTCCACCTTACCATTCTATTTGGGAGTCTCAACATAATTTCTCTGGTGTACAATTCATTTCCTCAAGTAGAAATCTTGTACCTCAAATTCTTTCTCATTATTACTTCAGATGATCTTGATTCTAGTACCAAATTATGTTTCCACACAAACATAAAAATTTCACAAAGCATGACCTGCCTTAGATTTATTCTTGAATACATAAACCCAAGTATATCTACTATAATTATTAACGATAAAAAAAATAATACTTACATCCATTATAAGACACTTCATTGCAAAATCCTCAAATATCGAAATGTATAAGATCAAAACAACATTCATATTTATGCTCACTAATTAAAAAAAAACAATCTATTAAGTTTTTGAAGATGACATATTCACATTGTTTATATTTAACATTCATTGACATTTATAAAAAAGAAATATAGTATGTGTAAAACTGAGTGCCTAAAATAATAGTGCCAAAAGTCTAAATTCTCTTCTAAGTTGCCTTAAAGTACCATATCTGTGGTCAGAACTTGTCAATCTTCAATAAAATGAATCATGTCCTGCTGTATTAAATATAGACTGTGCTTCAGCCTACCGGTTCCAATAGTCTTCCAGATCAAGAGGTATTGTATTATATAAATTTCAGATGAGAAAATTAGGCAACATCTTGAGTCTTTAGCCAACCTCCTAGTCGATATTAGTTATCAATTACTTCACCTGTAACGGCCCCGGAAATTTAAAATGAAATATGTGTATTAAAAAAAAGTCAAATGCGGAAGCGAAGTCAAAATTTCGATTAACATCCCTTACACTAAAACTAAAAACGTGCTCAAAATATAAAAGATCAAACTAACTAAAAGAGAAACTCGAAAGTAAAAACTATGAATATGACTATGGAGTCTTTAGGCGTCCCCTTCGTCATCTTCCTGCGGAACGGGCTCGGGAACAATGTCTTCCTGATCTGAAATGATTAAATAAGGAATGAGCTACACTAGCCCAGTAAAGACATCACGATATTTCACCGTCACGGAGGCAAAAGGTGGGTAGAAAACACAAAAAGACCAATGGACATAATTTACAACAAATCCTTTTATCAATAATAAAACCTTTAAATAAACTTACCTCGGTGAAATTCATAAAAACAATATACGAAAGCAATAACATTATCATCATCATGAAATCATATAAACTGTATGACATAATACTTATCATGCCTTTTGTAATTCAATAATTACACAACATATTTTTCCTCTTTTACCAGCCTACTAGTATCCATGGGGATCCATAGGGGTCCCGCTACCCGTGAAACCTTAACACTTTTAATCAGATTCCAGGGCCGTCCTCATACCCCGTCCGGTATGGGCGCCAAAACTATAAACCTCAATACCCCGTCCGGTATGAGGGTGAAACGGGCCGTCCCCATACCCCGTCCGGTATGGGCGCCAAAACACATAGGGTCTCCATACCCCGTCCAGTATGAGAGACCACAATCCCGGTAGGGTTCCGTACGGACCCGGTCCGTCCACCATCTCCCAGGATATCTAGTCAGGCTGATCACATTATACAATTATCAATTTACATAACCTTTCATTCCCCTTTTCCTCCGTCAGCATCATTAATTCACACACAAACAAGCAAAATAATAATTTATGCCAAATAAGACAACATACAGCATCGGTTTCTCAGTCATTCAACCCATAATCAATAAAACAGTAAAATATGCACACGAAACTATGAAATGAAAACATCAGACCTCATACTGCATTTAAAACTGTAAAATAGGCCAAATAACAGTTAACCGACAAACACACTAGACTCGGGCTCCATTAGCGACCTTAAGCAATTTCACACATTCGTTGATTCAAGAAATACTGTTTTATCATTTTTGAACTTTAATACCGTGATAGAAAATAGGGTGAGGGGTCCTTACTTGTTTCGGGGTCCGAACACGACTCCACAGTGCGCCTACAGACTGTCCCTAATTTTCCCTGAATTTTTCCCGGGGAACTGAAACGCACTACTGGTACCTGCACGTGTTCCAAAAAATCCCAAATTAGACCTAGGGCCCCTTTCGGCCAATATCGCAATTCCGACACGGCGGCTCCGCCGTGCTCCGGTGACGGCGCTGTCGCTTGCGGCGGCGATTCGCCTCGGGTTGGCCGTTTTCGGCCATTTCCGGCCGAATTCGGCCGCACTTACATCGGTCCCTGTGATAAAACAACCCTAGGGCCCTCGGTGGGCTAAAAAATTACAAAAAACCGAAGCTTACCGGCGGCGGTGCTCTCGGGTGCGGCGGCTCTCCGGCGAGGTTCGTGTTTTGGTGATTCGGCTCTGATCAACCTGTAGAGAAAAGAATGGTGATCACGGTGATATGTTCCCACTTCCACTCTGGAATCGGTAAAGGCTGAAGTAACCCACCTGGGCGCTGATGTTCTGCTTTGACCTGCTGACATACCAAGTACTTAGATACAAAGTCAGCTATATCTCTCTTCATCCCATTTCACCAAAACCGAGGTCGCATAGTTTGGTATATTTTGGTGCTTCCCGGATGCATGGCAAACTTTGAACTATGGGACTCCGTTATGATGTCTCTTTTTAACTCACTGTCTTCTGGGACACACACTCTATCCTTAAAACGAATCAATCCGTCGGCAGAGATCTGAAATTCTGAACTCACTCCCTATTCTGCATCCTTCTTGTGGGTTAC